GTGTGCATCTATTGCTATAAAGTGTCTTTTAAGAACTGTCTTTGCTGTGTCCCAAAGGTTTTGGTATGATGTATTTTCATTCTTATTTGATTCTAGGAATTTTTTTATTCCATCTCGGATTTCTTCTATTACCCAGCGGTTTGTAAACAGGATGTTATTCAGTTTCCATGTAATTCATTTATTTTTCCTTGCTCTTCCTGTTGTTAATTTTTACCTTGATGGCAATGTGGTCAGAGAAGATACTTTATATTATCTTGACATTCTGGATCTTGAGGATTGCACTGGGGCCTCAGATGTGGTCTCTTCTGGAGAACGTCCCATTTGAGTTTACTGCTGTCATTTTGTAGTGTTTTTTTGTGGTGCTGACATTTTCTTTGTTCCTCTTACTCTCCTGTGATGAACTCCTTTTTTGTGTGTGTGTGCGTGGTTTTTTTTAATCATTACTTTTGGTTTTGTAGGTTTTCTTTTTACTGAGACTTTATGTTTTTCTTCTTCATTTTGACAAGTAGGTTTGTTAACTTTCTTTGTGGTTATCTTGAAATTTACTCTTATCTTACTAGGTTTGAACCAGCATACTATTACTTACTATTGCCTTGCCTTCCTCTTCATTAGAAGGTTCTATACCTACACTGTTTATTCCATCTTTATTGTTCTTATGTTGTTGTCATTTACCGATCTACCTCTCTGGTTCCCTATTGTAACTCTTTTGGGTTTAGATACTCTTTAAGAGTTCGTTTCCTACGTTGGTATGTGGTTGTTTTGATCCTGCATCCTAGATTCAGCCTGTTGTCTGATGTTGTTTGTTCTCAGATCGAAGGACTCCTTTTATAATTCTTGTAAGTTTGGTTTGGTTTTTACATAGTCCTTTAATTTCTGTGTATCTGGAAATGTCCTAATTTCACCAGCAAACTTGTACGAGAGTTTTGCAGGATATATTATTCTTGGCTGCCGATTTTATTCTTTCAATGTTTTATACATGTCATCCCATTGCCTTCTTGCCTTCATCGTTCTGCCTAATATTCTGAGCTTAGTCTTATTGTTTCTCCTCTGTATGTGATTTTTTTCTGTAGCTGCTCTCATGATTCTTTGTCTTTGGTTTTAGTGAGTGTGATTATGATATGCCTTTGTGATTTTTCGGGGTGCTCTATAGTATATGGGGTTTGTTGAACATCTTGGATGGTCAGCTTTTCATCTTTCTTGATAGTGGGGAAGTTTTCTGTCAGCAGTTATTCAATGATCCTCTCTGTGTTTTTTGTTTCTTTCCCCTGTTCTGGAACTCTGATCACTCACAAATTTTTGCTTTTGATTGTATTCCACATAATTCTCAAAGTTTCTTCATTTTTCTTTTTTTTTTCCTTCTGATTTTTCCTCAGAGTTGTATCCAAGTGTTTGTCTTCAATTTTGCTGATCCTTTTTTCCATTGTTTCAAACCTGCTCCTTGGCCATTCTATGACACTGTGCATTTCTAAAATTGGGTTGTTTATCTTTTGGATTTCTAATTGTAGTTTTTGTATGATTTTTAGTGGTGAATTTATGTTGGAATTTTGTTCCTTTATTATTTTCCTGAACTCTTCCTTTTTTGTCTATATTTTCCTTGAATTTGTCCACCTTTTTAATGAGTTCATCTATTTTTTCCTCATTCTTGTCTTCTTTTTGCTTCAACTCTTGGATAACTCTGAATATTAGAGATATGAATTCCCTGTCAGGTAGTTCCAGTGCCTTTTCTTCTACTGGAGAGTTTTCTGATGTTTTATTTTTGGATGCCCACTATAACCATCAAGTTCTTTTTTTTAATATGTTTTGATATTGTCTGCTCTCTTTGGGGCATTCAGTAGTTATTTTCCTCGTTTATTGATGGCAGATTTGTCTGTTTTGTCCTGCTTTTTTGTTTTATTTAGTCATACCTGAGTAGGCAGGCTGTGCGTTCTTTGTTGTTTGCTCATCTGTGGATATGATACTTTTTTCCACCTTCTCCAATGGGCAGGGTCAGTCACTCAAGTATAGTACAGCAGGGCAGGTACAGTTGAATGGGAGTTGCTGGGATAGGTTGTTTATGACATGTACTAAGACCAACAGGGTGTGCTGGGAATCAGTGCAGGGTAGGTTCCGGTAAGCTGTGCATGTGCTGCTTAGTGGTGTGATGGTCAGCACACTGCTCATGTAGGCAGGAAGGAGGGTGGGAGATTGTGATGTCTGGAGCTAAGATGGATATGGGAAAAAAGAGAGAGACAAGAGAGGTAAATGAGTCAAAAACTTACAAACAACCAAAAAATAATCCTAAAGGAGCTTGCAGTCAGAGTGATGAGAGACTGAGAAATGGGGAAAAACAAAAAGAAAAAAGAAAAAGGGTAAAAGAAAAAAGTGAATAAATAAAAACCAGAAAAAAATGAAAGCAAAACTTCCAGGGATCCTACTGATGTGTCTGCAAGGAGTAAGGAAGTTGCTCCCTGACCTTGAAGTACAACCTGTCTAAAAGGGGTAGAGGTGTCACAAAGCACCAGGTATTCAGGAGACAGGAAGAGAAGGTAAGTATACAGAGATGAGATGCTAAGAAATGAAGAAAGACTAAAACGGAAAAAGAAAAGAAAACAAAAGAAATACACACAAAATACAAAAGAAACAAAAAACAAAAAAATAAAATAGAATGCAATAAACAAGAAATGCCCCCAGAGATCCCACTGTGCATCAGTGCGGATTAAGAGGGTAGCTCTGAAGCCGCGCAGTACTACCCGGCTAGAAGGGGCTCCCAAGCAGAGAAACAAAAAGAAAACAAATCAGAACAAACAAACAAAAAAAAGCCCCGGGTATCCCACTAGTCTGGCAGCACAGGCCAGAAAGCAGTTTCACAGTTGAGTGGCACTTCAAAGCCTTTCAGGAAGAAGGAAAGATGGCCAAGGGAGCCAGTTATTTGAGAGAAAGGAGGCAGAGGTGGTGCGAGGTGAAGAAATAAAATACTTTATTTTACATTTAATTTAATTAACAATTTTATTTTATTTTTTTCATATTTAATTTAATTAATATTTAGTTTATTTTAATTTTATTTTATATTGACTACAATGTAATATTAATTTTATTTAATGTTATTTTGACATTGTATTTTATACATTTTGTCTGATATTTTATTTAAT